AAAAAAAAAAAAGGAATGAGAGAAAAATAAATAGTTGTAAATATTTTTTAGCAGTCAAAAATATATCTGGAGGGATATTGAGCCTTCTTAGAGTGGTAGACAGTTGTAGAATTAAGGCTATGGTAAAAGGATTTCTTGAAAGCATTGTAATTTTATCACTGATTTGAACTGGTTTGTAACTGTAAATAATTTCTATTCAATTTCAGATTGCAGAGGAGGGATCTACCATTTCATGTGTGGTGGAGCGAACCAGAGGAGCTCTGGATTATGTGCATGTTTTTTACACCATTTCACAGATCGAGTCTGATGGCATTAATTACCTTGTTGATGATTTTGCTAATTCTAGTGGAACTATCACATTCCTTCCTTGGCAGAGATCAGAGGTACCTTCTTTGTTTCTTATCCTCCTAGAAAGCTTTTTCTGATCTGTTTGTTCTGTAGTTTATTTGCAGCTTCTTGCTGTTTAAGCAATTTTAAATATTTAGACAATTAGGTATATATCATGGCATACAATATTTTTGTATTTATTTTGCAAAAGAAAAACTAAACATTTTGAATGATGTGTGTTATAATTTTATCTGTTCTTTAATTCCAATATAATAAAAATTGTATATCTTGGAGGTTTATTATTGTGGGTTTTTTTGGTTATTACTTATACAATGGGAAACTGCAGAATTCTTAATGGTACTCTTTCAGTCAGCCAATGAGGAATCCTTATAGCTACAATCTCATTATATTTTTAAATTTGAAAAAATAAGTTAAGTTCTTTGTTTCAAAAATATAAGTGATCTCCCTTTTATCAAAAACTTTCTGTGAACCATGATCTCATTTCTGAATAGACACTCCAGAAATAAATGACTTTTTGTAAGTGAAGCTGAGATGAGAATTCTTCCTACATCAGAATTGTTGTACATTATTTTAGTCTATCATGTTGGACTATTCATCTCAGTATAATTTTTCATTAAAAAAGGAAATAGCTAATAGGTCATCAGGGATAAAGAGTAAAATAACTTCAGGCTTGCCAATATAATCTTTGAGGAAATTTCTCAGGGATTTAGGAGTTAGTTAATTGGATGAAAAAGATAAAATTGAGGGAAGATTTTAAAATGTTCTTAAGATTTTAAGAGTTAAAGCTAAAGAAGATGGATCAAATTTCCATAATTTGGAGGAAGAAGGGAGCAAGCAAATAGTTTATAACAAAAGTTCCCCAATAGCAATCTGTAGTAGATCCTTGATAACTGTTTTACTGGTCTTTAGTAAAATGAGGAAAATTAGGACAATGAGAAAGTTTTCATAAGGCTAATATTATCCAATTTACAGGATTGTATTTTATTCTGATGTTGTCTTTCTTACTACTTTTTTGGATTTAAAGTTATACTAATTTTATCGAGTAATAATGATAGTATGAGGAAATATTTTAATGTTGCTACTTGGAAAACAGAGTTGATCCTCAAAATTTTCCCTTTAAAAATTTACCAATTATGAAATAAAAATATAACTGAAAATCATTATTTTATAAAGTCGATTCATATGTATTTTTGAAAAGATGGGTTAATAAAATTATGGTGAGAAAAGTAGTTGTATATGTTCTGTGAAGATTTATTTAAAATACTTTATTCTATAATTTTTTTAGTTAAAAAATAATTGACCTTTAAAGCAACAGTAATGAGATTGAATAATGGTGTTGGTTTATGGCACTATGCCTGCTGAATCTACATTAGCCTCTCTATCTCATAAAGCCAGTGACTGGATATGAAATGTCTGTTCATGCTCCATGACTGTGCTTTCTAGCACAAACAGCAGTAATGTGGCCTCCACTTTGCTATTGCTTTCCAGATATCTGGAGAATCTATCTAACCAAATGTACTTAAATCACATTTAGAAACTTAGCTGCAAGGGAGTCTGGAAAATGGGGAGAGAGAGCGAGCGAGAGCGAGAGAGAGAGAGAGAGAGAGCGAGAGAGAGAGAGAGAGAGAGAGAGAGAGTGTGTGTGTGTGTGTGTGTGTGTGTGTGTGTGTGTGTGTGTTTAGGCAGTATAGGAAACTGTATTAGAAATGTTTTTCAAGTTTTTTTAAATGGCATATTAGTTATGAAATCAATTTAGTGAGTCAGTACCAAGATTTTAAAAATAGAATACGAGTAGAAAATAGCAGAGTTTATAACATATAGTAAAGGCAAATATTGTTTTGTGTACTGACTCACCATATAAAATGCATTTATTTATACCTTGATAGAGTCTTCAGTTTCAAACTCTTTTTTTCCACCAAAATGAACACTTACTTTGGTATGCTTCAGCACTCTAAAAAATTCTCTATGGAATGAAGCCCATTTTATTTTTTTCACTGTTAGCGTAAAAGGTCCTTATGATCTGACTCCTGATTAGCCATCCAACCTTAGTAGTCTGATTGCAGTTCCCTGTATGCCATATTGTTTCATGTCCCTGTCCCTTTGCTAGCGTTGTTTCTTGTATTTGAAATATCCTTTCTCATTACTTACAGCTGTGACCAATTCTTAAGACATGCTTCAAACATGCCTGCTGTGAAACCTTTACCAAATAGAGTGGGTTGTTTACTTTGTTCATAACTCCATTATGACATGTTTACATTGCATTTTATATATTTTTCTATAGATCTTTCTCCTATAACACACTGTGAGCCTCTTAGGGACTGGGCCCATTCTAACTCTGTAGATATCAAAAAATACTTGTTTAATTAATAAAGGAAAGAAAAATTATTTATTCACTTCAAATTTTTACTTAAATTTTGTAGAGCATGGCTGAGTTACTGCTACTTCCTTTCAGAACATTTTTGGACATAATTGTTTATACCGGACTTTGAAAGCCCGTTGTGAATCTGTTTACTAAAATGCTGTTAACTAAGTATTTCAGGCTTTCCTTAAGCAGGAACTAGACATGTGTATGTTGCCCTTTCTTACTACCCTACCATATCCTATCAGATAACATGCAGCTCCTCAGTTAGGAACACTATACCCTGACACCACTGTCTTTCATACAAAGAATATATGATAGATCAATATAACATCATATGTGGCATGAAATCAATATACAAATAGGATAATTTAGACAGGAAATGTTACTGCTTAGCACCCATTATTGTTTAAATAATTAATTTCACAAATCTCTCTCTCCCCCTTCTACACCCTCGCTCACTCTTTCTGCATTTTAATGTTTAAGTTTGTATAGAAGTCAGTCATGTTAAATATTAACTTCAATTACATATAATTTAATTGCTATTTTATTTTCTTCTAGTAAGTGGTAAATAATTTATACATGCCTCATTGCTTAATGCTCCTGGATTTTTATACTTATAGGTCCTGAATATATATGTTCTTGATGATGGTATTCCTGAGCTTAATGAGTATTTCCGTGTGACATTGGTTTCTGCAATTCCTGGAGATGGAAAATTAGGTTCAACTCCCACCAGTGGTGCAAGCATAGATCCTGAAAAGGAAACGACGGATATCACCATCAAAGCTAGTGATCATCCATACGGTAACCAAGCCCTTTTGCGAGAGTAATCCTCTCTTCTCTGGGTGTATTTGGTCTTATTAAGAAATTCTTAACAGACTTTTGGCAAATGATTGAAGTAGAGCTCCTTCAGACCCTCTCATGTGTAAGCTCTTGAACTTCTAAGCTGCCGTTTTGAGGGACATTGTTTATGAAGGTAAATGTAAAGATCAACTTCTGAAGTTTAGCAATATATTTTGAAATATATCTAGGGTTATTTAAAATGAATCAAACTGTTTCTGTTCATGGCTATCAATTTTTTTTTTAACTTTAAAAATTATCCTTGTGTCATATGTTAATATCTATTAATTTAAATACTTCGTAATTTATATTTATTAAGCTTCAAGAAGTGGGATTGTCACTATATGTTTATATTTCTTTTTGTCTTATTCTGAAAAGTGGTTATTTTTTTAATTGGGGAACTATTATAGATGTTTGTCCTAATAAACTGAGACTGCATTGAAAAGTCATAGCTCTTTTGTAGGAATAAAGCCAGAACATCTATTAAACGGCCTATGTAGGAAACCTGGGAGACTCTTCAATTCTGATCTTCACAGTTAAATTTTTAAAAAATGTGTCGCAAATCTTATATTCAAGAATGAATTCTAGAGTCATATTTGAGTGAATGTTTGATACCATGTGCTTTAAAACCTCATCACTGTTCTTTTTTTTTAATTATTAGTTTCAGGTGTACAAAACAATGTGATAGACATTTTACCCGTCACAAATTGATAACCCCCCTCTTCCAATCTATTGCCCCTCTGACACCGTAT